TACTCATGCGACACCCCGACCACCTTCCCTGCCACTATCATTACGCGATGTCGCTTTCAATGCACCCGCTACCACTAGGTCAGCCCGCCCGCTGACTTCAGCTCTCCATTTAACTATTATATTTAATACGCTCATATAGTATAGTTAGTTAGGTAAATTCCTTTCACCCTGTAAGTATAATATGATCAGAGTAAATGTTTACATCCTATTTTACGGTATACAAACACGCGTTGTAAATAAAATGTTATTAATTTAAATTGCCATTATAGGACGCAAGTAAAATGTATGTTGGCAGTTGTCTTTATATGCGCTTTATTTGTGGTTTGATTTTTGCTGTTGGCCAACAGTGCTAATCATGTTTCAGTTCCAGTTCCTATTCCTACTACTATTAGTTATAGTATTGTACTATCTGTGCTACACCAGTACTAACATCTAGAACATTATTAGATCTAACCACATCATGATATATTACATCTTGGAAGAACTGAGAGGGGCCGATATTAGTATTAAAATATTTTATTAGTTACTAATAGATAAAAAAAAAATCCTACATGATGCCTATATTTATTTGGCATATATTTATGATTGAATTGTAATTAATATAGTATGGTACCTGTTTTGTTCTCATTTGTATACGTATTATATTAAAATTATTGATGTACGAAGTCTAAAAATGTGTGCACAATCGTTTTTATTTGTAATGTTTATAAATGTATACTTGTATACCTCAAAGCAAATGAATTGTGTTTCAAGAGCACGATTCATCCAATTTATGATTGGAAAGGTGCTAACGGAACGCTGAACCTTTGACATCGGCGACTAGACGTGCATAATTAAACACACCAAGTCTAGTGTCTTGTTTCTGGCCATAATTAGGAATCTCTCAGTCTTAGAACTACACTACAACCAGCTTTAACAAAGATGACTTTGATTTCAACGTCAGGTTTTCGAGGTTTAGTCTACTTGGCTTCCTCCTATCAAATTTTAGCTTTATCTTAAAAAAATCACAGTAATTATTCTTTTTTTTCTTTATTATTTAATTCGTAATGCAATTAAAATTGTTTAATTGTGAAATTAACGATAGATGGATTAGCTATTTCAATATTTCAGGCGTTTTCTTTTTAAAATTAAATTATGAGAAAATCCAAAACACTCGTGCAACGAATACATGTGCATTACTCTTATAAACATTTATTATTGAGAAAATAGGAGATGATCTATCGACGACACCCTCTATGCGCTATTAGTTTTACGTCAAACTTATTTTAGCTTAATTTTTCTTTTATTGCCTTACTAACATCATGCCAACATTAATATTGTAAAGACAATACTTAAAGGGGTATATTTTTCGAAGAGAAGAAGTAATAATAAAAATCCATACGATCTTTGGTCTACAACTCCACTGAGACAAACATTGGAGGGTCGTCAATTACTTATCAGAAGTAAATAATTTGTTTTCTTCCTAAAATATTTCAATAATACCGATTAGCATTCTACACATTTAACTTACGAGTACAAGTCTCTTTGCGTGCTTACATATCTTGTACAAAATTAAGATAAAGTTTTACTTGAAAGTTATTTTTAAGTAGCGGACTAAATATAGTGTTTTTGTAGAAGAGAATTATCCAAAAGTGTGCTTGCGTGCTCAAACATAACCTTATAGTTACTTAGCCAAAAAACATACTAAACATAACTTAAGTAACTTAAAGGTTTTTTAAATTCAAATAATAATGAAACAAAATAAAGACCACATAATTCCTAGTAGATACCAAGACGACATAATAATGTAAAACGACAACAAAAATATAAAGTTATACGTGTATGGAGGGACGGAGTCGAGTGTCAGAGGGAGTGTCGCGGCGAGCGGTCGTGTCGTGAGCTTAAACACTCGCTAAGCAAAGACCTGCTTTAGTAATCTACATACTTAGCGGTGCTCGGCCGTGATTGTAGTCGGGGCCGGGAGGTCACTGGCATCAGCGTCTAGGCGACGCGCACCACCGTCCCCGCCGGTAAGCCACCGATGCATTTTTATCAACGTCCATTCTTAAACGTAAAGATAATTATTCATGAGTGAATATGTTATCTGTTTGCTATTTAAAAAAAAAACTTCTTCAAATGAAACGTCCAAACAAAGTATACTTACCTTTATTTCCTCATCAAATTCTTATATTACCACTGCCATCATCAGCTTGCCCTTGTCCCTATGGAGGGTAACAGTATGTGCTGCTCTTGCATACATTCCTATCAGCTGATCTTTTCTGAATTATCACTAATTATTATGTCGAATATTATCACTATAAAAGAAAGCACTGGAGATTAATAACTCTAGAAAAAATAAAAAATAAAATATTTGTAAAAAATAAGTAACCAGCCAGTTGCTCAAGCGTTTATTGGCATCATATTTATTAGCGTTTGGAAATAAAACAAAATGTAACCGTAATAAAATCAATATCACTGACACGTAAATAATAATTGTATTATGATTAAGCAGTGTTCATGATAAGAAAAATATACACGGTCGAAAATAGCACTGGTATGCATCGATCTTCCATCTATTTGAATAACGGTGAATGTTTTGACGTTTAATTTGACATTTTGACATTTCATCATGACATGTGATGTGTTTGTATTCAACCGTTAGGATATATATATTTATTACTGGTCCTGGTAAACTTCCGAGATAGTTAAACGAGAAACCGTGAACCTGTGGATCTTCTAGAAAAAAATTGATGATAGTTTCGATTTAAAAAAAAAAATTTGCTATGTGATTTCCCGGACTTCGTCTTTTCTTCTTCTTTGTTTTTCATTGAATATCGTGTTCAGAGGTGTCGATGAGCTGCTTCCTCTGGTCTTTGACTTGTCTTATGCCAGTTGGAATGTAGTCCAAGCTTTTTTTTTGTAGTTCTGATTCAGACCAGCGGGTAGATGATCGACCCCCAGACTTTCTTCCTTAATTTACCTAACTACAAGTTCTTAGTTGTCTGGTTGTCTCCAAGCAATATGGCCAAAAGTGAGAACTACAACTATAACAATTATATAAGTACCCACTTTAATAATATTTTACTAGTATTATAAATGTGAAAGTTTAGATGTATGCATGGATGGATGTATGTTTGTTAGAGTTTGTAGCCTAAACAGCTGAACGAATTTCGATGAAATTTAGCATATTTGAAGATGATAGTCTGGAAGAACACATAGGCTATTCGCTTTTCTTTTTTACATTTCCACGCGGGCGGAGTCGCGGGCGAAAGCTAGTTGTTAATAAAATTATAAACAATGAAGTTCCCAGAATTATTATTCTGGTATATTGGTTTGAGGAAAACGCCATCCATTATTTTGATGTTAATTGTAAACTAATACAAATGTTATCTGACTAAAGTTTAAATATAAGCGAATTTTAATTATCTCTGTGTTTTTATTCATGTTTTTGACGAAGTTTTAGCCTTTGTGAGCTGAATTTGACATCGACGACTGATTAGATTGAACAAAATCTTTTTTTTTCTTAAATGGCAGTTGCACTATCAAGGCCACAAACTCTATTCATTTCTATCGCGTGACTCTCATGTTGACTTTCAAAAGAAAAAATGGCAACAAGCCATCCGTTCGATAAATACCATTTTAACGCCCTGTAACAACTTAGTTAAGTAAAGAACAGCTAAATATCTATTGTGAACTGTCACGTTATAAACAACTATCAATCTAAAATTGCATGATCAGTACCCACCTGTACACTAAAATAATGTTTTCCAACCTATTAACTTCTGTTCAATAGCACAGACTATTCTCTTAAAAAGACAATTTAACTTTGTAATACGTATGTCTGGTATTACAATACTTTTTAAATTTACCTACTTTTGTCTTTTTGTAATGTATGTCATTAATGAGGAAAATAAATGTTGTTTCAAACGAGCGTCGTTCGTATTTGTGTTTGTGATCGACATACAAATTAATGTACTCAACATTAGGATAACGACCTTAATATTTTAATGAAGATGTATAGAATTAGTAAAACTGTAATTACTACTATTGCAAGAATCATCTGTACTCTATACTATTATAATAAAGCGTAAACACACACTTCTTTGTTGCCTAAGATGTCAGCAATTACAGCATATTTTTAAATGATTCTTTTTTTTAATAAAAAGGCCTACACTTACGTCATGTTTTTACGCCATTAAACTTAGGGGCTAAATATTTTGGATAAAAACCCTAATGTGGGAAAGAGACCATAAGTTACTGCCAACATCAAGAAGGAAAGATTACCAAGGTTTGTCATGTCATGTCATTTTGACATTTGCTGTTGATAATTTGACAAATGTAAACAATGACATAAACTTTTCATAATTTCATGCGGATGAAGCCGCACGGGAACAGCTAGTTTAAAAATAGTTATAACTATTTACCATGTGACGATTGATTTGAGAATTAAAAAATAAAAATACACAGAAGCATTGAACATCCCTCTACCACTCTGTGGAGAAATAGGTACGAGGTGAATGACTCTTCAAAATAAGTCTAACGGCTGAGGACGGAATGGATTAGTACAGGTATAAAAATTATACGAATCTGGTGCTTACTTATCTTATAAATGCTAAAGTTTAGATGAATGTTTGTCATTACGTTTCTCCATTGGATCTTAATAATAAACTTATTTAGTAATTGGAATCGCGAGCGACGGCTACTTCTCGTGAACAACATAATAAGCTTTGTTTAGCGACGATTTTAAATAGTGTTTACTCTTGCATGCTAAAGTAGTTACAGGAGAGTTCTCCTGATAGTTGATACGTGTTCCCGTGATGACACCATACACTACACATGCATGGTTTCATATGAAAGGGGGATTCAAATTTAGTGTTATTTAGTTATATGTACACTCAGGAAATAAGTTAGCGTTCCACCTTTCAACACCTTTTCACCACCCTATATAACATACAGTCGTTCGAACATGTCGCGATTTAGACGATGCGGAAAAATAACCAATAGGTAACAGTGTTTAAATTTGTCTGTACAGAAAAAGCTTGGACAGTAATACAGGACTAATTGCTTTTTATTATTATCCCGTCATTAAGCAACCCAATGCTACCTCATTGATTAGTTAGAAGAGGTGAAGTTTGTCTTGTAATAAGCCAACTATTGTATCAGGGGAACACCGCGGATTTTCGTAACAGCACATTAAATGGCATGGTTAAGTCCAACTTATATTAATTACTAGCTGTTGCTCGCGACTTTGTCGGCGCAATATTAAAAAATAACAGAAAACATAGCCCATGTGACTTACTGATAATGTGGCGTTTTATTAGTGAAAGATTTTTTGAAACTACTGTTTTTAAGTTATTTTAATACATACAAAAATATAAATCTTTCCCCTTCATATTATTAGTATCGATTATGCGAGTACATAAATGCTCGATATGCTTCCTTTTATTAGGATTCATACAATTTGATTAAAATAAAAACTAGCTTTAGTCCACATAGAGATAGAAAGTAACGCTTACATTTCACTTCCTTTTGCATTGACCTTGTAATGTATGCCATGATGCCATGATAGTTTAGGTTTGCTCAGTAATTTGTTTCAATATCCGGCAATTAGTAACATGTTACAATTTAATTGGAGCATAGAAGTGGAAAATTTCTTACAACTTAACTCCGATACCTCAATTTGGTTCTAGAACTAATCTTGGTGTAATTCTAATTACATTGTTTTAATTAAATTTAACAAACGTAAAAATTTGCTTAATCTATTATTTACACTAGCGGTCGTCCGCAACTTCGTTAGTGCTGAAAAAAAAACAGTAATTTACACTATTCTTGCATACATCAGCTTTCCAGTGAGAGTCCCGTGTAAATAGGTACTGCCGTTTCGACGTGGATGTGGAAGTGGCCTTGCGTATAAATGTAAGATTTTAGTTTTGAATCCCCTTTTATATCTTTGCATAGATTTAAATACAAAGTTAGATTTAAATGTCCGCGAAAGGTTATTTTCAGGCGACCTTAACTCAAATGCATACTAATAATATAGCTTCGTGACAGCGAAATACATTATAAGAATAATGTTACAGAGTATTGCTATGGAATATTCATACTATACAACATCAATACCTACGTCTACACTTGTATAGACGTAGGTATAGATGTTGTATTGTAGTAGACAGGCAACTAATAGAACTGGTCGTGATTAGTACGAAGGATAGGTATGTACATAACATAATGTACTACTCTTCTAAACATCTCTATCAGCCGTCATATCAAAATTACCTTCTTACGCATATTCTTTTTCACACAATCCATTCACATTTCATAATTTTTTCAAACTCATTCTGACTTTGTAGACAATATTCAAACGCATGATACGTACCTACATTTCTAACTAAAAATATTAGAATTCAAACGTGATAGGCAATTAATCTATCACTAACATTTAGAGCATAGCATACATTAAAAAGTGTTGCCAATTGCTCTCTAGCTGTCTATGCCAGAGATCAAACGATGTGACCTCTATAGTCATTTGAAGAAGTGGCTATAAATTATTTTTGTCATGAATCTTTTCTGAGTACGTGTTCTCACTAGCAAAAAATAGTAAACAACTCTAACCAACTCACTACTATTTAGAGAATACGAAAATTGTATGAAAAGTCCACACATACATACATACATACACATCTCCATCCCCGAAACAATCCCATCAAATAATCATAAAAATACTGGCCACTTATGTAACTTTTCTTTTATTTATGTAGAATGAGTCTGTAAAAATGTTACTTTTTATATAGCTTTTTTTTCTTACTTTCAGATCGTCGACAATGTTCGTGTTTAATGCAAGGCTTGTGCTGACGGTAGCATGTTGCTTCGTTGTGTACTTTAGCACAGTTGGAGCTGAGTTCAGCGATCCTGTTATCATCAACGCACTCAATACTGAACCTACCACTCACCAGGTATACATTCACCTCCATCTATTGGTGAATATAGTAAAGTCTATTTAGTACTTTGAGCTTTGTGCGATTACACGAATGTAGTAGTTATATTAAAGAAAATTTAGTGATGTGTTTTAATAAAAAATCTTACCAATATTATAAATGCGAAAGTTTAGATGGATGGATGGATGGTTAGATGAATGTTTGTTAGAGTTTGTAGCCTAAACGGCTGAACAGATTTTGATAAAGTTTTGCTTAAACATAGAGGATAGTCTGGAAGAAGGAAAGATACATTTTTTTATATATAACTAAAAGAAATCGTATACATATAAACGTGTTAATTTCAAAAGATTGTAATAACCAAATGAATAGTTATGATTAACAACAACATAATCCTTTACTAAAATAACTGAATATAAAAATTAACCGGTTGTCAACAAGTTTAAAAAAAACAGTTATGAATGAAAAACTTCGAATCCGTAGAGGCCACACCTGTTCAAATCACACGTTCGCGTCTTCCCAAGGTTTTCAATAGAAGCCTTTTAATTGTGTGCATGATAATTGTTATTGTTGTTAATGCTATGTATCTAATCACTGATAATTATCTACTCAATTATTTTTGTCTTCATTTCATTAAAAAATATTAAATTAAATGCGTTGGCTGTTTCAAAGTTTCAACCTAGACTCATCATCTGGAGATTATTTAAATGTTTAATCTAGACCCAGGATGATGAAATAAATTAATATAACAATAACCTCGGAATCATTTTATTCCACAGGGTGGTCGTAACATAAGTGTGGTTGGCGACGAGTTCGTGCTGGACGGCAAACCACTAAGGATAATATCCGGTTCCCTCCACTACTTCCGGCTGCCGGCCGCCTACTGGAGG